CCCCCTGGGAGCTGCCAAACACTGCGGGGCAGGTGGGAGGCAGAGACGCAGGTGTCAGCGCACCAGTCACGCTGCCAGGGCCTGCCAGCACCCCCACGCCGGCCTCTCCCCGGGCCACCTCCTGCTGCCCGGCCTCCTGCCCCCTGCCCACAGCCACCCTCCAGCGGGCCAGCGGAGCCACCTGGCAGACGGGGCCCTCCAGCACCACGGGGGCCCCAGGGCCAGCCCAGCACGCAGCAGGCACTTACCTTTGCTCTGCTCCTCCGTCACCTCTGGGAAAAACAGACCTTCCCTCTGGAGGAGCTCGCTGAACAGCTGGCAATCCGACTTCTCCGCTGCAGCGGGGGCTCGGGGTGCCGGGGCCGCGGCAAGAAGGTCTTCCTCTGCCGCCTCGGCCAACACAGCTTCAGGCCTGGTGTTCCCGCAGCTGGCCCCCTCCGAGGACACCACGGCGCTCCCCCCGCCATCCTGCTCAGCCCCTCTGCCGAGGAAGTACTTGGTGTAGACGCGGGAGCCTCGCAGGTCGCTCCGAGCACTGCCCTGGCATCGCTTCTCCAAGACCCGCAGCACTTTCTGGGCCAGCTCCGCAGACACCCGCAGCTGCATCAGGCCTTCTTCATCCAGCTCCCACAACTGGGCACACGGGGCCGAGTTAACCCTCACGGACCCACTGCGCACCCCACACCCGCTGCAACGGCCAGCGCCAAACCAGATGCCAAGGCTGCACACAAAAGGGCTATTCCCCTGCCCCAGCCTCCCCCAGCCAGCCCCAACACAACGAGCACCAGCCCAGCCCTCCCGCCTGCGCTCACCACCCAACAGCCGCCAGCAGAATCACCCCACGCCTCCCCCTCGCACGCCCCAACCTCGCTGGACCCTGCCGTTTCTCTGGGGTCGGCAGAGGCTGCCTTTCCTCTCCTCTGGCCTTACCCCTTTGCTGCGCCCAGCCCTCCACGTTTTGGGCATCCCCCACCCGCTTGCCTACTTCAGGCCCGTTTCTCCCCTGCTCGCGCTCTGCCAGCACAGCACACGCCTGCGCTCCCCTGCTCGCAGCCCGGTCATCTCCCTAACGTCCCTCCCTCCTGCCTCCCCGCTCTGCGGGCTCTGTCCCGTCTCCGTACCTGCTCTGCCTGCTCTTGCTGGACGAGGCGGGTGATCTCCTCCTGCTCCTGCACTTCCAGCTTCCTCACAAAGAAGAGCAGCTCCCACCACTCGGCGCGGCTCAAGGTCTCTGCGGGGTCACTTGGCTGCTCCCCGAGGTAAGGCAGGGAGTACAGCCCCCCAAAGGGCTTGGAGAAGAGCGGCTGCGCAACTGCGGAGAGCAAAGCGAGGGAGAGCACTGTCAGCTCCACCAATTCCCCCTCAGCAGAGCTGTCCTCAGCCACAGACCCCTCACTCCCATTGAGAGAGCTCATGTGGATTCTCTAGGTAGAACAGACTCCCTCTGTTCCCTAACTCACTGTGGGAAAGGAAGCTACCAGGAGGGCAGCAAGAGAGAGGGGACATGCTGGGAGAAGACCCTGGAAGCTGGAGAGATGGAGATTAAGGTCTTCGCTTGAACTCCTTTTGAGCTGAAGTGCTGGAAAAGCACACAGCCAAAATGGGCACCCCTAGCTCACTGCTCCCTCAGCCTACTCCTGAGTCCCTGGAAAGTTTTCTAGTGCCACCAGAGAAGGTGCCAGGGCAATGTACTTGGTCACTCAGTCCTGGCAGGACCCATGGTGCCAGCCCACAACTGCAGAAGAGCCAGGGAGAAAAGCTGCAGGCCCAGCCAACACAGTGTGCAGCTGGCTGCTGCGAATATTCACCTGCTGCCAGCTTGCGGTTGTGCGTCAGGGTGGACACCCTCTCCTGAGCCTCACGCTCCTCTGGCCCTGAGGGGCCAATGATCTCCACCATGTGCCAGTGAACCCAGTACGTACAGCCCAGGGCTTGCCAGTACACCTGGAGAGGAGAGCCCGTCACATGCACGACTCTGGAAACACTGGCCTGACGAAACTGTTTGCACCCAAGGCCCCGTGTGCCCCATACCACAATCACAGTGTGGACAGGCCCCTCTGCAACCCCCTGGAGGGTACCTGGACAGGTGGGGTGCCATCATTGCTCTGACGGAAGTCACCTTCATCGCCCGCGCTGACCTGTTCGTAGTCCTCCAGCATGCGCACCCGCATGCCGCGCAGCAGGTTTGCCTGCACGTACTCCACGTAGCTGCTGCGGCTGGGGAAGGCTGAGCGGGTCTTGAAGGCACTGGGCTCTTTTGGTGGGGGAGCGGGGGCTGCTTGAGCAGCAGGGCGGGCTGGAGCCTTGGGCTGGAAGATGGAGCGGGCGGTGCGAGGCTGCGTCCCCTGCGGCGACGACAGCTCCAGCTTGTGCCTGTGGTCCCAGCCCATCACGCGCACCAGCTCCGAGATGAGGTTTGCCATAGCCATGCTGAACTCAAACTCCTGCTTCACACGGCTCCTCTCCCCGCCAAGCGAGCCGGACACGGCGCGGTCCTGCGGCTCCCCTCCCTGCTCCGCACCACTGCTGAGCTTGTCCACAAGAAAAGTGACGCACAGGTAGCGCTTCACCAGGCCAAAGAGCAGCTTCCCGGGGATCTGCAAGAGGCACAGCTGTCAGATCCCCAGCCACCGCAGCGCCTCTGGCTCCCTCCGAGGCACCAGCTTGTCCCCCGCCAGCTCCC